ATTCACGCAGCCCGCTAAGCTTGGTGTTCATTTTGGTTAGGTTTGAACAGCTTATTGGATGGACTCAATGAATTGCATGGATACAACAGTGGAAAGTGAGTTAGTTTATTCCAAATTGCCATTTGTTTATTTTTGACTCGTGCCTTGAGCAAGGGGTCAGACTAGAAGACTTCTGAGGTCTCTTCTGGCCCTATGATCTGTGACTTTCAACTCCCCCCCCACACCCGGTAAATTCAGAAACCAGGATATAAGTATGTTGTGTGAACAAAGGATTGATGTCCCCAACACCCACTTTCTTCTGAGCTTATTTTGATGTGTTCTTATCAAGCGTTTCAAAGATTACAGATTAACAGAGTTGGAAGGGACCTTGTAGGTCATCTAGTCCAACCCCCTGCCCAAGCAGGAGACCCTACACCATTTCTGACTGATGGCAGTCCGGTCTCCTATTGAAATCTTCCAGGGATGAAGCTCCCACAACTTCTGAAGGAAACTTCTGTTCCATGGGTCGAATCAAATATTAACACATATTAAAAGTCTTTATTATATGACTGAGGACAGATTGATTTGCTTTTGAAAGGCAGAAGATACCGCGGATCAGATTTGTTTGCCTTTGGCACCTCCGGCCATTCCTGCGGCTTCTTGCACGGGAGCGAAAACCTGCACAAATACGTCTTGGATCACTCGGTACGAGAGCACCCACTTTTGAAGAAGCTGAGATTGGTAAGTCCCAGTTGTTCAATGGATCCTGCGATGACCCAGGGCGTGGCAGAAAGGCAACTCAGCCAGAGAATAAGTATGGGTCCCTTTATTAGCTCCAACTTTGCCCCCAGTGTCCCAGTTACCCTCCGGTCTGGAGAAAAACTCTCCCATGAACCTGCAACAGCTGCAGATATCCCAGTCCAAAACGTAAACAAAAAACTTTAAACTATAAATCCAACAAGGCAAAATAAGGTAATTAAATCCAGCAGGGAAAAATAAGGAGTTCCAGAAATGAAGTAACATGGTGGTAGATCAAACCAGTTGGGAGGATGCCAGGAACTCAGATAACCGCAGCCAACACGATATAAACTCAACGTTTGTTCCCAGCAAATGCACCTTGCAACTGCCTCTCCTTTAAACTCCCTCCCCAGGTGTGCCTTGTGAAGGGAATCAGGGCCCTTTCCTCCCCCGTAAGCCATGCCACCCATGTTGCTCTCTTCTCCGTTCCTCCCTGTGTGCCCTAGGATGAAGAAGGGGTGGGCCTGGGTCTTCCTCTGAACTCCCTTGTTCTACCTCTCCCCTGGTCTGCCCAGCCTGACTTTTGCCCTTCCCCAGTTTCCTCCACAGCCAATGAAGCCCCACTCTCACTCCCTGTCAGCTGTTTGTCTTCCTCCTCGGATTGAGACTCTGACGGCAGCATGACAGATCCGATCAGATTCTGATGGATCTTCCTCAGGGGTCAATCCAGGATTCACGAACCCCTCCAAATTAACTCCATCTTCTCTGTACTCGGGGGGATCTTTCCAGCCCCTTGTGTGATGACACAAAGGCAACAAAGTCACAAAAGCAGGTAAAGTCCCTTTAATATCTCCAACTTGGCCCCCAAAGTCCAGTTATCATTGGCTGGAAAAAAAAAGCTCTCCCAAGTACAGTCTTTAAAGGGAAAAAATCAGTCCAAACCCAAAGTACATATAAATTATAAATAAAAACCAACACAAACCACGGCTGCAGCAGTTAACGAGACAGGGCAGGATAAGGAATTGCAGACCTTCCAAAAGATAACGAAACCCACACAGTTGGGAGGACACCAGAACCCTGATAAGACTTGACAAGCAAAGATAATTCACGCTTTGCTTCCAGCAAGATGTTGTGTGCAAACACCCTTTTTAAACCCTGTGTTCCCAGCTGCAGCTAACGAAGGGAATCAGGGCCCTTTCCTCCCCCGCAACCCAGGTAACTCACTTTGCTCTCTTCTCCATTCCTCCCTGCGTGCCCTAGGATGAAGAGGGGGTGGGCCTGGGTCTTCCTCTGAATTCCCTCTCTACCTCTCCCCTGTTCTGCTCAGCCGGATTTTGCCCTTCCCCAGTTTCTTCCACAGCCAACAGAGCCACACTCCCACTCCCTGTCAGCTGCTCGGCCTCCCCCTCCAAATCAGATTGCAACAGGGGCATGACACCTTGTGTGTGAACAAGACATCCCAAATAATGTACAGCTAGTCCTCGAGTTACGGCCGTTCATTTAGTGACTGTTTGAAGTTACAATGGCACCAAGAAAAGGCACTCGTGGCCGTTTTTAACACTTGCAAACATTGCCGCCTCCCCATCAGTCAAAATTCGGATGCTCGGCTACTGACTCACACTTATGATGGTTGCAGTGTCCTGGGATCAAGTGATCCCCTTTTGCAACCTTCTGAGAAGCCGAGTTCCATGGGGGAAGCCAGATTCCACGGAACGACCGTGTTGCTAAATTAACACCGGCATGGATTCACATAATAGCTGTGGCAGGAAAAGTTGTAAAATGGGGGGAAAATTCATTTAACCTATGTCTCACTTAGCAACAGAAATCCTGGGCTCAATTGTGGTCACAAGTAGAGGACTACCTCAACGTCCTAGAAAGGCTACAGAAAAGGAAGGCTCTTAAAGGAAGGTAAAACGAGGCCAGAATAGATGATGGGAGGTTTCAGAAATAAGTTAATTCAGGGGTCTCCAACCTTGGCCCCTTTAAGACTTGTGGACTTCAACTCCCAGAATTCCCCAGCCAGCCAGACTTGAGTCCACAAGCCTGAAAAGTTGCCAAGGTTGGAGACCCCTGAATTAAATCATGGCAAGAGGGAGGCAGTGACAGATTGGCATTTCTACTTTATTTTGGGGATGGACAGGCCCGTTGTATTAAAAAAAATAAAATCACAGCCAGGTGGATGTTGTCATCACCTATTTTGCACTCTCAGCACACAAGTTTAGGCAGGCTAAGCAACAGGTGTGTTTGGGTTGGCGAAAGCCAGCCCTTCGCTCTCGGCTCTTCTCCAGCTCTACCCATCCCTGCAAAGTTTGTGCAAAGATTATAATTCTTGGATGAAAGCTCCTCAGAGGTGGGTATTCACCCGGTTCTGACCAGTTCTGGAGAACCGGTAGCGGAAATTTTGAGTAATTTGGAGAACCAGCAAATCCCACCTCTGACTGTCCCTGCCGCCATATATTCTCCGCCTCCCATTGAGTCCCAGCTGATTGGCTGGGTCTCCTTTGGTTGCCCTGCACAGGAGAACGGAGCTGGAAAGCAGGTTAGTGGGGTGGGGACAGAATGGGGATTTTGCAGTATCCTTCTCCTGCCACGCCCGCAGAATGCCACACCCACAGAATGCCACGCCCACAGCTGATCGGCTGGGTCTTCTTTGGTTGCCCTGCACAGGAGAACAGAGTTGGAAAGCAGGTTAGTGTGGTGGGGAGGGAATGGGGATTTTGCAGTAATCTTTCCCTGCCACGCCCACCAAGCAACACTCACAGAAATGGTAGTATAAATTTTTTTGAATCCCACCCACCACTCAAGCTCATTCTTTCTCTAGGCGCTCCTTCATAAGAGCTCCTGGGAAAAGTTGATGGAATAACCAAAAAATGAAGCATGATATGTAATTAAAAGGAAAACAATTAACCTTGGGGGATGGGAAGTTAATTTTCCCAAGAAGTCACAAGAGAAAACCCGGACTGTTGCAGAAGGCTTGAATCAATACCATGAAGGCATGCATACTCGCACACACCTATGCAAATTTATTTATTTGCATGTTTATTTAATTAATTATTACATTTTTATGCCGCCTTGTCTCCCGTCATCAGGTGCCTCTGGGCTTGAAAAGAAAACAACAGTCTCCTTCGAAATAAAACAGAAATAAAACAGTTGTATTTGTGTTCACCACGTAGACTTAGCTTAACATATTTCTTTTTTAATTGAGTTACAAGATAAACTAAGATGCAGAAGAACTTCTCACATGGACTCCTGTTTTGCTTTTTCTAGGCTGCATCTTCTACCCCTGGCAAAAAGCTGTGGATCTCTTGTGATCAGGCGCAGTTGGTAGCAAACCTGATCAGGCTTGTTGGAGCAAAAAAGGTAATTGAGATAGGTAAGTGAGACTGCCTACAACTGGGAAGATTCGGGATTTTGTCTCACAATAAACTGGTCACCCTGTAAGTCACAATCTAATCCAGGGGTCGCCAACCTTTTGCACCTCAGGGACCACCAAACTCATAATTTTAAATCCCCCCAAAAAGTCTGCAGGAAAATTCCCCAGCCCGTTTTCCTACCAATCAATCATTCTTTATTTGGGATCACAGGATACTGTCTCCAGCTCCATTCTCAGGGGTAGAGAGAGAAAGAGAGAGACTTTTGGCTTCATGCAAGGAAAGCAGCAGAAGCAGCAGAAATCTTTCTTTCTCTCCCCCAAACTCCACCAGAAATGAGTCTTTGTGAGACTTGTGCTGGCGCAGCCTCTTGAAGCAGGATGCCTTGCAGGGTCCCAAAGACTCATTTCTGTCGGAGTTTGGGGGAGAGAAAGAAAGACTTTTGCTGCTTTACTTGTGTGCAGCCAAAAGCAGAAGAAGAAAGAAGTGGAAAGCAGCAGCCCGGTGGCCAGGCCAGGTGCGTGGGGTGAGTGGGGCAAGTTGCCCCCCTCTGCCCTTTCCCCCCTCCCCTCACTACCTCGTGTTGTTCGCAATGCAAACGACACAAGCCTTGTGTTCCCGTGGGCCATGTGGGCAGCGCAGCCTTGTGTTCCAGTGCAGCCTGGATTAATTACTTTGGGGGGGTGGTGCTTTGGGGGTAACATTTTTCTGCAGACCACCCAAATTTTCTCGTGGATCACCAGGCCCACTGGTTGGCGACTACTGGTTTAGTGGTTGCTTCAAAGTTACAACGGTACTGAAAAGAGCGACTTATGACCAGTTCTCACATTTAAGACTGTAGTGGCACAGGAGTTAGAACGCAGTATTGCAGGCTGATTCTGCTCACTGCCAGCAGTTTGATCCTGACCGGCTCAAGGTGAACTCAGCCTCCCGTCCTTCCGAGGTGGGTAAAACGAGGACCCAGATTGTTGAGGGAAAGAGGCTGACTCTGTAAACCGCTTAGAGAGGGCTGGGAAGCACTGTAAAGTGGTATATAAGTCTGAGTGGTGTCGCGATTGTTATCCTGGTGATCACGAGGTCAAAACTCGGGCACACTGGCTTGTATTTTCGACTGTATTTTGATCCCCATTTGTGACCCTCCCAGCTGACTTCCAACCAGCAAAGCCAATGAGGGACGCCGGATTTGCTTAACGACTACATGATTCACAGTGGTTCGCTTAACAACCACGGCAATAGAGGTTGTAAAATTGAGCACATCTCACTTTAAAAAAAAATGGAAATTCTGCTCCCGACTGCGGTCATATGTTGAAGACTACCTGTATGTCTTTATTCATTCGGAAACCCAGAAACCCCTTCAACATTTTTGTAATTTCTCTGTAGGAGTTTCTGCTGGGTACAATACTTTAAGCATGGCGCTAGTCCTACCAGAAGATGGCAGAATTGTTGCCTGCGAGGTCAACGAAGATACGGCCAGTATCGGAAAGCCAGTGTGGAAAGAGGTAGCGTAAGTTTAATTTTGCACAGGGTTTGTTTTTTGTCTTCTGGAAACATTGTATTGGTAATTAGAGCTTATAAAACTTATGCTAGAGCCTTGTTGGTGAACCTATGGCACCCGTGCTGGAAGCCATTTCTTTCGGCACGCGAGAGATCACCTGGAAGAGACCCCACCGCCCAACTGCAGATTGTCGGGTATCTGGCGGCGCATGCACAGGGGTGCATGGGAGACGCGCACGCATGCACAGAGACACATGGCACACGCAGGGGGATCTCACACGCATGTGCCGGGGGTGTGGGGGGCCAGCATGCATTGCATTCTGGGTGCTGGCACATGAGCGCACATAAGTGAGCGTGCACGCAATTATTGGCATGGGAGCCGAAAAAGGTTAGCCACCACTGTGCTATTTTATTAATTTTATTATTCCACTGTTGTTCAACCATTTGGCATCCCTGGTGCAATCGAGCGGGTTCAGAAGTACTTCACGAGAAAAGTCTTGCACTCTTCTGTACACACTCGAATTCCGTACACTACTAGGCTCGAAATGTTCGGTTTGGATAACTTAGAACTGTGTCACTTGCGGTGAGACCTATTTCTATTCTAACTTTTATTCATGTCACTGTAGTATTCAAAGACGTTTCTTTCTCTGTCTTCCATCTTTCACCTGCTTTATTATTCGTATATCCCTTATTTAACTCTTCAC